TAATTCTTACAATTTGAGCAGGTATATTTAATTGACATAATGCAGAAAACCATTTTATGCACAAATCCATGCTTACGGACATTATTTCAAGGACTTATCCACATGAAATAACTACCTTGTTTTAAGGGCAGATCAAAGACAAAGGATTATCTTTGTCATCTACACAACTATTAATTCAAAAAAGCAAAAATACATTTATTTGTATCTGTGCATTTTATTCCCTGTTGTGTCTTCTTGACAGGGGAAGGCTTAATGGTGTGTTAGTAGTAAATAAAAAGCCTAAGGGTAACAAGCAGAAGAGACTGTGGTTTGACACATGTAAGTTGCTGTTTGTAAGTTAAGAGAAATGTATCTTCACTCGTATGCTAAAGAATCATATGCTGTTTTATGAGGGAAATCGCTGATGTTTTTATTCTGACTTGCACTTGTCCCGTAGGACAAAATAGATGCATCATAGCAGTGCTGTGGACTGCCTTTGTGTTAAAACATCACAGCAGCATGTGATAAGTTTTGCCACTATTTTGTAACCAATTACTACCAAGTATTGACAAATCTTGTCAAGCTATTTGGCATACATCCAAATTTGGCAGTACAGCAAGTAGAAGACGGCATTTTCAATGTGGTTTGAATTTTGCTGGTGTAAAATGTGGACAATTCAACAATTTTAGAAATGGAGAGTGATCCTAGCTATGCAGACATTATTCTGTTCGTTGTATAATACCCTCTGAGAAGAAGAAAAAATAATTTACAGGGGTTTTCCATACAAGGGGGTTGCAGTTTCTTCAGTTCCCAGGAGATGGCATACATCTTTTGGAAAAAAATGTCTGCTCACTTCCTAAAGGAACAGCGAGGTGTAGGAGGAAATACATCAATGCGCCATTCAGTCCTGCGATTTCCACTTGAAAATTGAAAGTCAGTTGGCAAACCCCTTGGGATTTAGGAGAGATGGAATGGGGATTGCCATCCACAGAAGAGAATTTGTATGAATAGCTCAGCAGGAGGAGGGCGAAGAATCCCCACCCAGCAACCGCATTTTCTTTGTGGCATAATATATGTAAGACTATAATACAATGCCCTCCTACTTTCATCTTTCTATATTGCCACTCATCAGCATTACAAAGAATGTAGCTATTAAAAGAACTGCCTCTTGGCACCCAAAAGCCATAGCACTGTATTTTCTACAACAAAAAAACTCAAGCCTCTATTATTTGTTTTGCTACATTTGCAGCAGTCTCCCCATTAAGCTTGCTTCTCACAGCTCCCTGATCTCATTCCCTGTTGGATCTAGATCAGACACACCAGAGGTCAGGCTGACTTTCAAACCTTCTTGCGGGCTGGCAGGCATAGAAAAGTGTAACAGTAATAAGGATTAAGAAGTTCTCAGATGGGCCTACCAAAGTGGAAAGCCCCTCCCTTCCCCAGACTTGCCACCCTCTGAAATGCTTGGCATAAATACCAGAGCCAGAGTTATCGAGAGAGTGCGTATTAATTCCTGGTTACTCAGGTTGGTGCTTTGAAGCATGGGTAACAATACTGAAGCTCCTGTAAATACCCTCTGTGACACTTCAGTGAGATTTTCAGAGGTCCCGCAACTTGTTAGTGGAAGAGAATTGCTACCAGTTTCTTTTGGTTACCCCAAACTTTGGAAGAGTGATCTGAGGCCATGAAAGGCCATCTGACGTAGGTCCCATTACTGGTACACCAGTGAGAAAGTGTTTGTGGTAAATGTGAACTGTTATGTCATGAGTCATGATACACTGACTGCACATTCAAAGTTACATTATTAATAATAATAATAATTATTATTATTATTATTATTTTAAAAAGTTAAAAATTGCTGAAAGTGAGGTAATGTGAACCGGCAGCAATGGCTGTAAGAACCCAAATCCAACCTATTAGCAGTCACCTCCTACCTGCTGACAGCCAAGACATAAGTAGCCACAGTGGAGATAGCAGTGCACTATGTCAGTCACTGAAGAAAGCTACATCAAGAAGAAAAAAACAGAAATACTTAAGAACTGGTTGCCCCACTACCACAACCAGCATCTTCACCACATCTTGCTGGCAAGGGATTAGCTTGACTACAAGTGGAGTCAGGTCTAATTTCATCACAGAGGACACTTGAGGCTCCTCACCTGTGTGTTTCAGAGCAACATACAAGGGCACAGGACTGCCGATTCTTCAGGTCCAGACTGCTACATTACAGGCAACCCGGTCACTGCTCTGGGGACACAAATTGAACCCTCAGTCGTCACTGCCACAGTTTTATGTACTCATGGTGATATGACTGGTGATGGGTTACATGGTTGCACCACCCCATTCACCCCATTCTACCCATAAGCACCAGGGCTGGAGCCACGTCCATGATCACATTATAAAGGCCCCTTAGGAGCATGCTTGGCTCCAGTTCTCTTTAATATGTTACTGCTGCCATTCATGGAGACAGACTTCCAGCTAAAGCCTTGATTGCTCAGAAGAAGGTTGCCTTGGGTCACTGCCAGGATTCCCCACCTCTTCGAGTCTTCATCCAGCTGTGAGCAGTGACTCTGGAGACTGAATTCAAATGCACCAAGACTCCAACAGGTAACCTGTCTTGCCGATGTAGAAAGCCCCCCAACTCAGGGCATGCCATGCTAGTTGTGGTGTTGTTGGGATGTGCATTTTGCATACCCAACTTGCCAGGAAAATGTTCCCTGCTGTGCATGGGCATGTCAGACTCCCACCAGATGGGTGTGCTGATAGTAGCTCATGTGCTCCAGTGTCTGGCCACCAGTTGTCAGAGATAACGTGGCCCTTCTGAGACACGCTGGTAAATCTTAAAACCACCTGACAGCACTCTCCTCTTAGCCTGCTTTTTTCCACCATGTTTGACACAAGAGAGGTGGTGTGGGTTTCAGACTTTGGGGGTTGCAGAGGACAGAGATGAGGCTATGCCAGCTCCACTAAAATAAAAGTAAGCAACACAGCTGGCCGCAGGTAGGTAGTTATTTTTGAAGATCCTGGGGGAAGTTTGAAGTGCACTTATCTTGATTTTAGCTGATAGTTTTAAAAGAGCTCCCTGGATTTGCTGTAGTCAGCTGTTTGCTTATTCTACCAGATAAATATAATACACTGCTCTTCAAGAAATGAAAGGTTAAATTTGGATGCCATCCACAGGAAATGGGAGCTTAAGGGTGAGCATGTATTTTGAAATACGGATGTTACAATTCCCTTTCTAGCTTGCAAAACAAACCCTGGGCCTATACCATGTCACTTTAATGATTTATTAGCCCATCTTTAAAAATCACTTATTCAGTTCCTCCCAATGGCTCTCTGCTACAGACGAGGCTCAGCAGCCTGCTCATTTCTCATGCTGCAAAGATTATTGCTTTTACCGATGGCCAGACTGTGGCTGCCCAGGAGCAGGTGTGAGAGGGAGGGGAGACAGGGAAGCTCAGAGCCTCCATCTCCTCGGGCACCTATTCAACAAGCAGCAGTCCTGATTGTGCTTGCTGAAAAAGAGCAGGTGAGCCCCGACACTGGTGGCACCTCACAGTTCAGATGGAGTGAATGCGTTTCCCTCCAGCACTGCCTGCTGGGATGGTTTGGAGATGCTTGTGCTGCATCTTGAGGCGTGTTAGTGAGTAACAGCTGCTCAAAACACTGCTCCCTGGACTTTCTGACCCTCTTCCTTTTTTCACAGAAAGAGAATTTCTGCCTTTTTTTTTAAATTTCTGCTAATTCGAAAGGGATGAGTCTTTCAAAAGTATCTACATAGTCTGGCCCATTGCTCAGGTCCCCTGACACCTGGAGATGGACTTCAGACACCCAGCGCTGCACAGGGGCTGCCCACTCTTTGAGCTCCGAAAATCAGACTTGTGAAGCACTCTTAACCTGAGAGGCTCTGAACCAGCAGGCAAAATGCAGCTGCAGGAGTTTTGCCATCTTAGTTACTGAGAACAGGAGCAGATTTAAGTACAGACACACATGCAGAAGCGTGAGTGGGAAGAATAAGTGAAAACAAGATCAAGGGCATGCAGATATGGAATTATCAAAGCATTGTTTAATGATTTAAGGTTTACTCTGAACAATACCAAAATTGAACAATACCAAAGTTGGGAAGTTTCTCATTTTTTTGAGACTAAAATAGTATATCATAATTTGTTTGACCAATGCAAAATCTAAACCATCCTTAAAGTATGGCTTCAAAAATAAACTTATAATAATCTTTTTTTTTTTTTTTTTTCTTTGAGATTTACTGTTCTTTAGAGCTGATGTATACGAAGGGGGACCTTTCGTTGGTTATGATAAATGGCTTATCTCTAACTTCACTGAAGCTATGGTATATTGCTCCAGTTTTTGAATATCTGACCTAAAGGGCTAGAAAAAACTTCAGGAGACCAGTGCTGAAACCTGCTTCTAACTGCAGATACTGCAGCAGTTTTTCTAAGGACTAGGAAATGTTCAAGGTTATAGGTATTAAGCTTGGAAAATGATGAGCACACTTCCAAAGACAGACTAGATTCCCTCCCCCACAACCTGAAACTCTTCTCATTGAAATGCATGTATATTTTTCCATGACTTATCCTTATTCTTTTTTTAAAGAAAGAAGTTGCTCAGTTTAGATGTTGAATACTGTTTTTCCCCTTTGAAATGGAATCATGTTACAGAGAATTAAAAACTTTCAGTGTCTTTGGAAAGGGCCTCAGTGCCTCTCAGGATTGAATTGACAATGATTAACATCATCATTTCAATGATTGCCAATTTACCCATCTCACAGATACCCTAAAGGTTTTGTTCTGTCCTGTAACCACAGCTGAACACTAAAAATGCTTTCCACTGTAGAAACAGCTATCTGAAGATCATTTTCATTTCTCTTTTTCACGTGCAACTGTTTACTCCATTCTCAGCCTTAGGTTGAAAAATATTTGTAAAAGCAGAAATGAAAGCAGTTGCAAAAAAAGAAAGTCATTATTTCAATTTGGTTAAAATTGAAACTTTTAGGGTTAACTCTGGCTATGGTAAGCAGCACCAGCCAATCTCTGGGGCAGAGTGGTGACTAAGAAGATGCACTGCACAGTGTCACCAGGAGACTATTGGCTGCTATTCAGAGGGAACATCTGCCAAAGCTTGAGATGATCAAAGTAAAGGTAGCCTGATAGAAAACCAATTCTATTAATGAATCGTTAAAGACCAAGCAGGGAAAAGTCACAGTTTTGTCCTGGCACAGTTCCTGCACCATACAACTTCTTTGCGAATTGTTTTATGTTTCTTCTGCAGTCTAAATGTTTTGATTACCAAGGCAGTGTTTCCCCATGAGGCGTATCTTAAAGAGATGCGGTGCCTGTACCAAGTGGGATGAGATGATAAAATGTAAGAATCTGGAACATGAGAAGGTTGAAGCTCAGCTGTGAAAATGTTTATTGGATAAACGTTTACTGTGCTGCATGCTTATATTTATTTTTCTTTCGAATCTTTGAGTATTGCTTCAGTGAGACAATTAATTCTTTTTGGAGAGTATGACATGGTTAATTAAACAGGTGAGAGAAACTAGTTTCTCAACTGTCTGGAGATTCAAAGAGCCAGTTGCAATTTACAAAGAATATATTAGAGTTGTCGACATCATATGAATCCTGGCTTGTCTGAGAATGATAAACACATGAGTGGTGTAGAAAATGCCATTTAGAAACCAGAGATCATGCTCACTGAGGCCGGTCCTCTGCTGTGCTAGGTGTCTGCACTACATTCGGCTTTTAGTGAAGTGATTATGCTTAATCCTAAAACCTCTTAAGGATTTTGTCATTTTTCTGTCCAAGGGGTGCCTGCTCCAAAAACCACTACACTGATGGTTAAGAACCAGATTCTGAATCCCATAGCCATTGCATAGCCATTTGTTCTTGTGCCCAAGTCGTTCTTAGCTTCAGAAGCCCATCTTTAGCCCTAATGTTAATCCTTTTGATATATTTATGAAGAGCAACTGCGTTCTCTGAGTCTTCACATTGCCAGCCCAAGCAAGGCAAGCCCATGAAGGGCTGTGCAGTGGCACACTGCATGGCTGTTGCATGGGCTGGAGCCCACCCAGCTCTGCTCCCCTTCACTCGCCTTTCCCACCCACCAGCAGGTACCAACAGAGGCTTGGAGATGTGCTAAAGAAGGCAGCAAACCTAAGCCCTCATAAGCATGGCTTGAGAAAGCAGAACTTTGACAACATTCGAACTGTGATATAGAAGGTAAACCCAGAAAATGTTGCAGAAATTGCAGAATTGAGGCTGTAAAAATGAGTCCAACCTTTCCGAGACACAGACTGCTACTTCCTCTATTTTTGCCTTGCACCTAGGATGATGTGGCCTTGACCAGCTGGTCTCTCAGTGCTCCTGCAATCTAAACATTAGGCATTAATAGTTTTGAATAGCAAAGAGTTGTAAACCGCAGTATATACTGTTATACTAAGGAAGTTAGTGCAGTTGGCTTTATTTACAGCAGGAGGGACTTAAACATGACAAAAAAGGCACCGATTTGGATAGAGAAGGAGCTTGAGAATGCCCTGGCACTGACCCCTCTTTACTACTTCAAGCAGTAAGACGGGCTCTCCTTTGCCTCTCGTTACTGACTGCAGACTTTCATGGCTTTCCACATGGAGAGATCAGGCAACTATGTGTAAATTCTTTATATTTGACTATTGTTCTAATGAATCTTTTATTTTACTGGTTTTAACATATTATCTGTAAACAACCACTACTGTTTGGCCAACTGTTCTGTTTGTTTAAGGTTACTTAAGTCTCAGTTATCTGTGGAATGCTCCTATATTCCTTTGGGCAGTCAGTACATAACTCACAATTATCTAATTTTGGGAGGGGGGCGGGAATCTCAGATCACTTTTATGAGTCTTTTACGGAGCTGTTAAGTACTATCAGGCATACATATATACATATTCACTTCAACCCCACCACATCTGCAGTTGTGGTTGAAAGTAAGAGGTTCTCTCTATAGCAACCAGCGCGTGTTCGTTTCTTTTCTTTTTTTTTTTTTTTTGAATACCAAGAGCCAGATTTTGCTCTCAGGTCCACAGCAGTTTTGTTTTTCTGATTGTTTTATTCTTGAGAGTGAATAAAGTCCTGCTATTTTTCCACTACACGTGTCTCAAGAACGATCTGATTTGGGCAACTTTCTAAACAAACATTTGCTGATTTACTTCTTGATTAGAAATTATTAGTGGATCTTCAGGAAGGGACATGCTTCAATTAGATCTGGATAGAATTAGCAACGATGACACATTTACAGCAGTAAAGTCTTTCTAAAGAGCCTTTAGAACTAATTCCAAATGCATACATGACTTTTAATTGGATAATTATTGCCTGTTGACTTTCTTCCAGCTTTGTCCTGTAAGGCAATGTGTGTCAAGATTTCAGAGTCACTTGCATATCTATGTATTCCTATTTTTCATCTGTATGTGTAAACAACTATTTGCCCATGCAAAAGGGATCCTTAGATGTGCAAATACCTTATCTTCTGCATAAATATTTTTTGCAAGCAAATGTGTTTACAAGAGTGACTACATGAAATATAGATATGTTTGAAATGGAATGAAATACAATTAAATACAGATCTGTTTACATGAATGGTTACATACACAAAAAGAGGGCCTTTAACTCTGAAATTGGGGGCTTCTGTCTTGTATCATCTCTCAAGTTGATTGTATTTCTTTATATATGTAAAGCTACCTCACTAATAAAGCCGTTTTAGCAGTGAACCCAGCAGATTAACAACAAAGCATCTATGCATGTGCTTAACTTTAGTGGAGCTAAGGACCCAAGCAAAGGTAAGCACATGCTTCAGTGCTTTTCTGAATTGGATTCACATTTCGATCCAGTACTATATTTTTCCAGGCTTCCTAATTTCCTGCTCTGCAAGAGAATCAAAAGTCAATGGAAAGAGTTTACAGTGGATGCAGTGTTAAGTGTTGTCAAGTATGTTTTGTAGCCACATTTCTTTTGTAGTCCAAGCTGATCTGAGAAATTCAAACCCACACTATGCACTGTACCATTGCCATAGTTAAGGAAATAGTGATCCCATTGATCTGCAGATTACCTTGCAGTTCTCCAAAAATGAAGTGATATTTACCTCTCCAGGAAAATGTATACATTGGCTTTTGAATGCTATTTGACAGCACAAATATTTATGTTTAACTGACCAACTTATTAATGAGGAATCACATTATTCAAGAATAATCAATGTTCTGCTGGAGGTCCAGGGTGCTGAGAGCTATTTCTGAAGAACACTACATCTGTCCTCGTTTCAAACCAGGACAGATAGTTACTGTAGAGCGATACCACACCTGATTTGTTATGCAGTGTTGTGTTGTTAAAGGCCTTGTCATCAAACTCCTTTTGCCTAGCCCCATGCAGAAACCGCATCTCCCTGATGTTGATGTATCAGAAGGCAACTCATGCTTTTCTTCATAGAGAGTCCTTCCCATAGGTTATGTATGCACAAGGCAACTGCTGTCTTCTGGAAGTCTCTTGGGAAATGAAGAAGGGCAGTGGTAGAGGGGGGGAGAGGCTCTGTGTATGCTTCCCATTCCCCACTTCCACTAGGCCTTGGGCCTAGAAACTGGAATTTATCAGGGGGTGGCTCTACTGGACTAGGTAGGGCTGAAAATTTTATGTAAACTTGGAAAGAATCAAGAACATCCAATTGGCTTTATATTATGTGATACTGACTTCAACAGCACTTGAAATTAGAAGTCAAGTCTCATAACACTGTTCCATACAAAAAACAAAAGGCCTCTGGTTAGAAATATTGGTTAGAAATATAGAAAAATTTTCCATTTAGATAAAAAGTTTGTGTTTATTGTTATACCATACTGTTTTCCACCTTTGCTGCCCCTCATCCTTTTGCTGATTCATATGCAATGACTGCAAACTTTGTGCTAAAAAGATTACTTTATTTGTAACATTTATTTGTATTTAATTTGTATTTTTATATGTATTTAATTTTTATTTTTTTTGAAAATATTTCTATTTTAAGTTTGGTTTAGACCTAGCAAAATGTTTGCACATTTGGACCCCCTTTTTACATGTGCAAAGCTTTCTGTACTAAATTATTTAATTCCCTGTATACTTCCAACCCCCCCGCCCCCAAATACCACTTAGTGAAAAACAGCCACAAAGATAAACCCTGCTCAATGTGGACAGGGCCTTTGGATCGAGCAAGAAATAGGATAAGAGACTGTATGACTGTGAACAGATGAAATCATGTGACGGGCTTTATTGCTGGTGAAATCTGTTTCCACTTGCTGCCACCCACTAATTTGACAATAGATTGCATCATGTGGTTGCAGCAACTGAGAAGACTAGCAACCATTTTAAACTGCTTTCCTTAAAGGGGAAAACACTGTATAAAAACAGTGGAACAGAAAGAACAGAAAGAACAACTTGGTGTTGTGAACGTATTTTAAATCTTAGATAAATGCAGTAATTCATACTGCATTATATTAAATTTAATGTAAGCCAACTCTGCAATGAGGACCTAAGTATTAGCCAAAATTTGTTTATTGAGAGATTATTCTTAGTGGACAAAAACAGCTAGGAGATTTGTTAGAGTAATTTAGCTCATGCTAGAATTGCAGTTACTACCTAAGTGTTATATGGAAAATGCACAGCATTTTTAAAGCAGAAAAATAAATAATAATGAACCCTCAGCTTAAAAATGCAATTCTCTCTGAGTTCTTTTCTTGTAAAGTAAAATCTACATTTCAAAGGAATATTTTCTTACATATGGAAATGCTTATTTTCTAGCTACTGAAGATCTGCCAGGAAATATTAGAGAATATCATGTTCAGAGTTTTAGAAGGCAAATTGCTTCTGCATACACTGTATCTAGCAGACAAGCTTTATGGTGCTTTTTACCTGTCTGTCATAACATCATCAGGTTTTCCAAAGCACCTGAAGCCCTTGCAACTTAAGAATTGTAGCAGTGTACCTTCACACGACACATGTATTTAGCAATGCTAAGCTGATGAGCAAGTAAATACAAACAACAGATTTATATGCTTTAAACCCAATTATTAAATGTTCCTTGATGGAGGAAATAAACAACTTTGAAATGAAATAGTTGTGTCAGCAAAGAAGACAGATTTTAAAGAGCACTT